CCATCAGACTGCTCTTCATTGATGTAATGTCTCAAGTACTCCGCAAGAGTACGATGAGATCGTTCTAGCGCCCCGTTGCTTTCCGAGTGATACGCGGTTGTTTATATTTTTTCTATTTTTAATAGTTTACAAACGTTCTTAAATAGTTTGCTTGTAAAGTTGGTGCCTTGATCCGTTAAAATTTTTTCGGGTACCCGTGTTCTATTATTATCTTCGTCACAAACGCTTTTGCGACCGAGATCGCCCCTTGATTAGGCAATGGAATAGCTTTGCTAAAGGACCCCGCACAAAACCAATGGGTTTTGGTTCCCGGTCAAATCGGCTGAAATTTTGATATGTTTTACTTTATAACATCCTGATCAAAAGTGTCCACGGGCACGAAGTCAAAAAATGGACAGTTTTCGATATATCGTATAATAAATGCATTAAAAATACGTTAAGAGGTTTCATAAGATTGAAGTATTATGATTGCAAACAATCCTTCTCAAAGCCGACCCTGACTATGCGAATTCCACGCGCGCCCATTCGTGAACTTCAATAGCTCACCGTTCAAATCCTATTTATCGGATCGCGTTTTGGTAAACAACTTTTCGTCTTAAAATTTCACGGAGAATACGTTGGTACCTGGCGGTACGCCAAGGCAAGTTCTTGGACACCCTGTATATACAGAATTGACGCGCTAGATTGTTTATTGCGATGAATGTTATCACATGCCTCGGTGGTCTAAAGGTAGGACGCTCATCCGGCAAACGTGGAGATCCGGGTTTGATTCCTGGCTGAGAACATGAGGTGATATTTTTTCGTAATAAATTCTTTACAGATTATATAGATGCAAGTTAGCATTAATTTAATGTCACGAATGTAGGGGAGGGGGATTTCATATAATTTGATGCTTTGAGCATCGATTTATTAGATTGCCATTGGCAATTTAATTATGATATTACATACTACTTGGTTAGAAGCTACGGAGATGCACGCGATTTGCGGGCTGCGGCCACGTAGTGTTACATGCCCTGCCGCGAATTCCCATAGGTATCCCATATGGCACCATGAAGATCCAGTGAAGGACCATGAAGGTTCCGTGAAGGACCATAAAGGTCCTGTGAAGAAGGACCATGAAAGTTCTACGTAAGATCGTCCTATATTAGACGGAGAGCTGGCTACATGGGGTGCGACATGCCTCGGTACATGAAATATTTTTCCTGGAAAAGGTTCGATTGCTGCCAGCAAAGCGAAAGCCCGACCGTCAGAAGGCGCGCTGGAAGACAAG